TACGTGACCTGTGTTGAAACATATTTAGAGGATGAAGAACAACTAGACCTTGTAGTAAACTACTTGAAGGAAGTGTATCGTGAAATAGACACTAAGAATCTGCATCAGATCGATGGAGATGGAATAAAATTTATTTCAGATGTCCTTTTGCCTGAAGTAAGTAAACGTGAAATGCTGAGAAAAGTACACGCTGAGGGAAGTAAAGGACACTAGCATTAGGTGATTGGAGTTTACGGGCTTGCCGCATGTCCCCGGGAGCTGGGTGGTGTTTGAGCCAGGCAGGGGTATTGGTGCCGTGAAAAGCCGGAGCTGAAGACTCAGTAGTCGGCAGACTGTGAAGCAGGGGTTCTTCATTACGGCGCCGGGCACACGGGGGATCTCTCCTCCAAACGTGCGCTCCAAGCACCCTGTCCTTTCAGGTTAAATACAATCGCAGTATACATATTCGTTATATTTCTGAGAAATGCTTAGCATATTCATGACTTTTCCAATAACTAATTAGCATGTGTTAATGTCTTTCACACATGTCTGTTAGCGTCCTCGGGTGGTCTTTGGGGGTCTCAAGATGAAGGCTTATACTCCTCGTCACAGTGTCTGCTGGTTGACCTTTGTTTCTGCGCAGACGCAGTTCTAAGATCACGTATCCCGTGGCCTTCCAGGCTGTTTTGCTCCGGTCGTGTTGCCCACTTGGTGCCTCTTTATCTCTGTAGCTTGGTGCTTCTTCCCTCCCAAGGCTGAGCTGTCTGGGGTAGAATTATTGAGGAGCCTCTCCATCTTAGAGCTTTCCTGTCTTCTCAAAACAGCAAGGATCTAGTTTAGTTCAACTACCAGAGAGATTGTAATTAGAAATTTTACATTTATGGGTATTGGTATCATCCTGCCCACTTGAAGCTCGAGGGGTGTGAAACTGTGTGGTTTCTATGTGTCGTGGGCAAAGAATATTAAAACAAGGGCAGGAGGCTCCAAAGCTGTGTTCGTGGGCTGGTCATTGACGAACAAATGTTTGTTACGTGTTGGAGAAAAGAAATAAAACCCCAGCATTAACTGGTACACGCTTCGCGCTGCGGGTGCTGCGGACGTTAGCATGAGTAGGCTGGCGGGGTTTTGGGTGGAAGTGGACCAGGGTGACTCTGAAGGCAGATTTTTAAGCCGTGAGCACAGTAGTATGATGTTTTTAAAGGCAATCCGACTGCTTTCTGGTGTGTTTTGATTGGTTCTGAAACTCTGCAAAGCTTTGGGTTGGGCTGTGGGTTTTTTTGTTTGGCAGATTATCTCTGGGTTTTCTTGGGTTCTTTGTGTGTTGGGGTGGGTTGGTTGTTCTGACAGTTACACTTTTAGATACTTCTTGCTCTTACTAGGAGCTTTCCTGGGAGAATGTTAGTAACTTCTGTAGGCAAAATTACTATGGAGAATATCTTAGTGTGATTATAAAAATACTCTCCTGGGAATGAGAAAGAGCAAGTTTGTATTATTTAAGAACTTGAGGTACACAACAAGCAGTTTCATCCAGGTTTCCCAAGTGATTGAGGAACCTTATTCTAAGAATGTGCTCTTCTAATTTTTTTTTTCTTCAGATCACTGTTTGTAACTTAGCTTTTGTTTCACAAGTATAAATGAACTAAGTACTTTTACAGGCCATCATTTACGCGATTTCTGCTGTGGATGAGATAGATTACAAGAAGGCGGAAGAGAAATACATAAAAGGACCATCTGTGAGCAACAGGTATCTCTATTTTTAGTATTCTCTGAATTTTTCTTACTGGCTTACTTTTTATACAGGAAAGGGTTGAGTGTAAGGGCAGGAGAGTTCAGTATTCTCCCTTCTGCAAGGCAGGCTTTCTCACTGCCCCAGCAGCAAATTGATTAAACGTGGGAAACACTCTTGTGGAGTTACTGTAACACACTGCGAGCTGGTTAATATGTTACGATTGTTTTCACTGCAGAGCTTCAATGTGTTTCTTTTCAGGGAGAGAGAAATATTTGATGAAGAAATTCTAGAAAGAAAAAAGTGGAAGGCCGAGCTGGCAGCTGCAGACAGCGTCTGACCAGTGGTGCAAACTCTCCCAGGTTGTGCTGGTGCTGAGTGTATATAATGGCGAAGTGCTCATTTGAATAAAATGTGTAATTCTTACTTTTTAAAATCCGTGTCTGTATCTTCAGAAGGTGCAGTCACCGCAGTGCTGTACTGCTGTCAGATACAGTTGTGTCTTCAGTCCTCACTCTTGATTCTGCGTGCTGGAGCTGCGTGCTGCTTCCCTTGGTCTCGCTGTGCTGAACTGCCCCTGGGAGACGACACGAAGAGCGTAGGAGCGCTGCGGGCAGGCGGCCATTCCCTGCGCTTAACCTGCGACTTGCAAAGACTGCGAGCGTCTTGCGGAGCTGCTTGATATAACACTAAGTTTTTTATGAAGTATTTTAGCCAAATGTCTGACAAAGGGCGGGCTGTCGTCCTCAGAAAAACATGTTCTGCTGAACTGTGGCCAATGTATTGCCTCGTGACTTTGTTGCTGTGTGTCCGCAGGTTTCCCCTCTGGAAAACTTCCCAGAGCTGACTGCCCTTGCGTTTCCTGTCTCAAAGGGGGGGGAATAAAATTGGTACCTCGTGCTGTGATCCCAACAACACAGGCTGGGGTTGTGTTAATAGGACAACTGTAAACTTCAGTGGAAAAAGAAATCACTGTTTGCTTAAAAAAACAAAAATCATTCAGTCTTCCGCTTAGAAGTGAAACCATTCTGAATGCTGTTTTAATGGTTGTTTTTTAGAAAAAGACAATTACAGGTGTGCCATCTGATTCAGATATCAAATTTAATCATGCGCAGTTCCCTCCCCCAGCTGTTGCTGGGGGTGCAGGGGCTGCAGCTTGCCTTTGCCAGACGCGCAGCGTCAGTGGGAGCTGTAAGGATCAGTATCTTTCTGTATCATAACACGAATGTGATCTACTTGCTTCTGCAACAGGAACCCAAGGCTTGGGCTTAAGGAAGAAGTTTAAATGTAAATTGGGATGCAGATGTGTATTCTGGCTATAGTAATGACCTTAATATATTTTAATTATGCTTTAAATGACTCTATAATTAGTTTCAATATGCCTTTGGAATCCTTATTTGTGTTATCAAAGGGCCTATAATTATAGAGAAATATCTCTTTTGGTTTGATTCAACGTGGACCAGTTCTCGGTTTAAAAATCAAGCTGCCTTCTGCTGCCCAAGGAAGTCGGAGAGTGTGCGATGCATTGGAGCGCTCTGAAATGTTCACATCTCCAAAACCCGCTTTCGGCTCTGGAACCAGGTGCTAGAGGCTGCTCACGGCGCCGTTCGTACCTCGAGACCAAGTCTGCAGCTTTGTGTGAGCTTGACTCAATTAAAGTCGGGTGAAGTGAACCACCAAAGGCTTGTCCCTGCTCCTTTATTCCACTCCCCGGCTCCGAGCCGTGCTCTGTGCTCGTGGTGAGGTTTATTTGTGTATTTCAGCTGAAACCGTGGTGTGTGTCAGGGTTTCATGTTATTAAACAGGAGGAGTACAAGGAAGCAAACTGGCTGGTTTTGGGTGCTGTGCTCTGTTTAAAGCAGGAGCGAGCTGCTCCATGGGGCTGTCCAACGTCCATCGACGCACCGTCCTTCGCGCGGTGTTACAGCCCGTGCTGCTGCCGGTGTTTGTTTCTGGGAGACTAAAATTAGAGTTTGGAGCGTCGGCTGGAGGGGTCCGGGC